AAAAGAAGGACACGATTTCTGTTATCACTGTCTGATATTGTTGCAAGCATGTTTTTAAGATTAAATTCCGCGGGTGTGCACACACAGTCGCACTTCGGTTTTCACTTTTTTTATCATTGTAAAATCTCTAACCTCTCTTGTCGTTAAATATCGTTATTTATTATAAAAGTTATTGTTATATTTTTAATTTAACTTTCACGTTGAATCAATATAACGATCTATTAGGAAATAAATTAATGTTGCGGTAATAATTGTATTCTGTGTATACCTTCAGATGTATAATTTTTAACTAAATCATTTGTTTGATTACTTTTCATGCTACAAACGTATTTAAAACACATGACGAGCTTATCTACGTTCGCTAATTATTTTATCGCGGAGTATGAAAGTTTGTTACTTCATATTTAATTTTTCTTTTTTTAATTTTTAGTAATGTAATTCTGATGTAAACAGTTTTTCTTATTTAACATAATCATTAGTTGTATTTTGTTTCAGAGAATGTTTATAGTTCTTCATATAGATTTGGCCGAAACAAAAAGTAAGTTGAATATGTAATCGCATTAATAATTGATTACTTAGTAATATTTCATATTTCATTGTTTGATTGCAGAGAAATATGCAGGGTATCAGAAGAATATTAGTTTTCTGTGTGTTAACAACAATATTACCAATTATACTTCTTGTAATACCTTTGTATCTGCGACACAATTTCTATGCTAATGTTGCATATACTGTAACCGAATCTGGTATCCTGGAAATCACAGACGGAGTTTCTACAATATTTTGTTCGGTAAAAACGTTTAATTGTATCAGTTATGCGTGTATCTTCTTTATTATGTTAATACTTTTATATTACATTAACATTGTTATCATGTTTATAGGAACATACTATACAAATGAATAGGAGCTTTAATGCATTTCAAGTGTCACAAAAACCAGAAATAACTTCGTATAGAAAACACATACGTCTGAAGAAAAGCATGACCATACCGGATGACACTTTAGAATACTGGGGATTTTATCTTTTGCAAGGAGCAAGTGTAGCACTTTCCGTTTGTTCAAGGTATAAGTTGAAATTTAATTTATTACTATCATACGCTGTTATAAAATATTTGTTTTTTAACAGACACTGAATATTCTTCTAGATTCGAAGGAGCTTCGATATTACTTGTCAAAGGAGAGCGTAATTTACGAACATGTGGTATGCTGGAACACAATTACGAAGAGCAAATTGTAGAAGATATATTTTTACCGAAAGCAGAGCAACAAGTTAAAGTGATATTCACATCAAACACTAGAGAACCTACGTTTCAGAAAACTATCCCCAAAGTTAATGGTTTATTAAGAAATATGGAAAACGTATTTCCACGGGATAATCAGTCAGACGTTAATAACGAAGATCTCAATAATTCTCACAAACATATGAGAAACAGTACATTGTCTAACAAAGAGATTCGTCAAAGAATGTTGCAGGATTTCCTTGAAAGTACAAAAACGCGTGGTCAGCCTACAGGATTATCTCAAGAAGATGCAGTGTACAGTACAAAAAAGTTGAGACATTCCAAAAAGAAACAGTATCCAAAAACAGTGGGAGAAAAGAAAGAAAATCACGCGAAACTCCCTTTACAGGAGCATATTGTAAATAATATTAGAAACGAAACAGAGACGGAGAATACAAAGTTGAATAAAAAAGTCAAAAGGAGTCAGGATCTTATTAAACCACCGTTTCTACTCGATGAAGGTGTTAAACACGGTGGGAATGCTGTTACGAACGTAACAAATGCCAACGATGTCTCTTCCGTGTCCAGCTTTGAGAATGGCCTATTCAAATGTTACGGTGGCTCGATTTTAATAGCGCAAGAATTTGCACCTTCTAAACAGTGCACCAATGTCTCTTACCTGCTTAACGGGAAACATATGCAAACAATCCAGAATATCGTAGAGACCGGTTATTATTATTATATATTTTACAGTGACAATGATATTGTATCGAACGACATACACGCGGTGTTCGACATTTATAAACCTCTTCTTCAATACGAAAATGTAACGAAGTCTTGTATGAATCAAACCAAATGTTCCTTTACAGTGAATTTTCTATCCTCGGACCGGGTGATCGTTGAAATACCAACCAAGGATGATATAGAATATGTAATAGATAATGATGGTTTACTTCTCTCGGTTTGTCATCCACGGATGGAAGTATATGTCATTTTTCCTATTGCAGTATTATTTTTTATTCTTACCTGCGCTTTCATGTAGTTCTTTTCATGAGCGCAACGTACCATCGATAGTCATTTGTTACCGAGTAGCAAATCACATTAATTTTACATACGAATTATATATTTTAAGTCGGTTAACCCTGAAATATAAATTATGTAGGAGATTGTACATATTCGTGGAAATAACGAGGGTACAAGGGTCTTATTTTAGGAATGTACTTATGTACGACAAAATACTCGTACCTACGTTTTACATTCGCCGGAGCCAGTTTTGCGATTATTGTTACATTCATAACATTTATTGTCGAATGTACTGATAAATTTAATATACCAAATAATACGCATATATTTTTGCTAATATTAGTTTTACTTGATAATAAATCATATTTACGGCGTATATTTTCTGATTTTCCTAATCTCCTTAATTTGAAGTCGATGAAATTACGTTTTTAAAAGCTGCAAAATTATTTTTGCATTTACATATCTGACAATCGTGATATTAATTTATTTCACCGTTACGATAGATTTCATTATTACTATTATAAGAAAAATAAACGTACGTATATGATAAATTTCAATGCACCACGATATACAATAATAATCGTTATTATTGCATCGTTGACAAATACGGTAAATGAAAATGAAATTTCACAAAGTACCTACGAATACACGAGGCATATTACGCCTTACTACCGAACATACTTAAGAAGTAGAGTAAAAGGTGAATACACAAGAAAGAAAAGTTTATTCGACAAAAAATCTTGGCCACACATTTGAAATGAATTTGAAGTGGAAACCGAAGTAGAACTTTCTGTGTTTGCATTTGCCACGCACACCCCACTAACGTGCCGTAGGGGATTGTGGGTAATTGACGCACTTCCCTTGCGCGCAATAACCATTCCGCAGGCGAGAAATATTCCGGGGCTCGGTAAATTGTTAAAAACCTACGGTAGAATTTCGAAAGCGAATATACCGGAAAGTTTGCTCACCGTTTCGAATACATTAGATAAGTTGAATCGCTCGGAAAGATTCGCGAAAGTTTTAAGGGCGCTCGCAGCGCCATTGCACGGCGCTCATAAGAATATTCCTTGTGACGCAATAGGAACTCGTCCTTTCCGTCGACCTACCGTGAGTGGAACATGTCGCATACGTCTGAGCGAAGGTAAGTTCGGTTTTTCTCGCGTAATCGCGAAAGGTGTTTGGTTTCTCGCATTTCGCGAATTATCCGTCCGCCTCGTATTTCCACGGATTTTCCGTTGACCGAACTCGGACGTCCGGAATCCGCGGTACATTCTGAAAAAATAACGCCGCAATCAACGAATTCACGGACATGAGACTGACAACATGGCGTGCATTCGTTTTTGTCACATTGTTCACGAATTTAATATCGGTCCCCCGTCGACGGCAACTCTCCTAACCTTCCAGCCGTTCGAGCTCGAAACGTCGAAAATTATTTGCGCGTCGGACTTCAGAATGTACCGGGTGGATTTTAAACGGGATTTTCGATGGTTCAGCATGTTACACGATACTTAGACACGTGTTACTTTACACTTGAAATTACGTAATAAAAAAATGAATTTCTTTGGAAATTCGGTTGGAAAATATCACGGGAACCGTGCGTCTCGCGGAATACCGCAGAGGATCGTGGATACTGTGTCCCTCCAATTAAAACACGCGTTACCTGTTCGGGCATGCTTTCGCGTGAGTCACTGTCAACGCATCCATCAAGTCATCGATAAAATCATTATCATACCTATTTAACGGTTCCTTGCTCGAAACAAATTGTTACGTGTGTACGCGGTAACGGATTATTCGATTAGGCATTATTAAAATTTCATGATTTCGTATTGAATCGCATACTTCAAGGTTGTTGAAATTAGGTGATTTACTCCGATCTGGAGTTTATTTTTGTTCAGTGGACACCTGAGCAACGTGAGATCGTTAATAATTGATCTGAATTTATGTTTAGTACAATGAATTTTCTATTAACGTACTAATCATAATGTATATCGTACATTTTAGTGTCATAAGATGTTCAAACTTTTAATGCATTATTTTCATTTGTATTTCAGGAACGATGATCAATGGGCAGGCGATTCCAAAAATGGTCCTAGCGAAAGTGAACAATTGTCCTACGATGGACCGTCCGGCATGGACCCGGGTGGGATCATCGAGACCAACTGGGATGTTGTAAGTTCTTTATTACACTATGTATTGTGATACTGCGGAATCGAACATTATTTAGTAAAATTTAGTTTATTTACGGTTGCTCCAAAATTATCAATACTTATTGTATCGATTTAAAAAAATTATGTGTGTACTGTTTACGTGTACCAGCTGTGACAGACAGCTGTAGGGCCACTACAGTGTTCAAAAGTACTAGTGTTTTAAATGTTAACCTTTAAGTATTAGTAATATTGCCTGATGGAACAGAATATTAATGTTAATAAGGAATAGGATCTATTTATAGCTAAAATTGAAGTTTACTCGTTTTGAAAATGTTTGTAGTAAGAACGATGTTAGTGTATATATGTTTTTCATATTTTAATTCTTATCTACTTCTATACAAATTAGGTCATCGACAACTTCGATGAAATGAACTTGAAAGAAGAGCTATTGCGCGGTATTTACGCTTATGGCTTTGAAAAACCATCCGCAATTCAGCAACGTGCTATTTTGCCGTGCATAAATGGACATGACGTGATTGCACAGGCGCAGTCAGGTAAAAAGAACTTTTATAAGTGCCTTACGTTGTATAAACCATGAACTTTAATTTCACATCACCCATCGTTCGCTAGGAACTGGCAAGACAGCTACATTTTCCATCTCTATTCTACAACAAATTGACACCAGCATCAAGGAATGCCAAGCCTTGATATTAGCCCCAACTCGTGAGCTTGCTCAGCAAGTGAGTAAGAATTAGTTTAAAATATCAATGAACATACACGCGCGCGCATTCATACACATGCATACGTAACGTACGAATTTTGTTTAGATCCAAAAAGTTGTTATCGCCTTGGGAGATTTCATGCATGCCGAATGCCATGCATGCATTGGTGGTACCAATGTACGCGAAGATATGCGGAGACTCGATCAAGGTGTTCACATAGTAGTTGGAACACCTGGCAGAGTTTACGATATGATCAGTCGACGTGCACTGCGAGCCGCTAGTATCAAACTGTTCGTTCTGGATGAAGCTGATGAGATGCTCTCCCGTGGTTTCAAGGAACAGATTTACGATGTATTCAAATTACTACCTAACGAAGTGCAGGTACGTTTGATCAGTAATTACGATTACGATAATAGATTCAACCACGTCAGAGAATTGACCATTAAATAGCTGGGAAAGAAAGAAAGCAGGAATGAAATAAAACAATTGTTACATTACAGGTTATATTGTTATCTGCTACAATGCCAACAGATGTATTGGATGTCTCTCGATGCTTTATGCGAAATCCAATTCAAATCCTGGTTAAAAAGGAAGAGCTCACACTGGAGGGTATTAAACAGTTCTTCATCAGCGTCGAACGTGAGGAATGGAAGTTCGAGACTCTCTGTGACTTGTACGATACATTGAGTATTACCCAGGCAGTCATTTTCTGTAATACACGGCGCAAAGTGGATTGGTTAACGGAGAATATGCGCAGCCGTGATTTCACTGTTTCCGCTATGCATGGAGATATGGAGCAGAAAGAGCGAGACCTCATTATGAGACAGTTCAGAACTGGCTCATCGCGAGTTCTCATCACTACTGATCTTTTAGCACGTGGTATTGATGTTCAACAGGTTTCGCTTGTCATCAACTACGATTTACCTTCCAATCGTGAAAATTACATTCACAGGTAAACTGAAGATGATTATTTTAATGCGTACAGTAAGATTGAATTTGTACGGTGATTTTCTATATAATCGAACGTTTCAAATAATTCCACAGAATCGGTCGAGGTGGTCGTTTCGGTCGCAAGGGAGTGGCTATTAACTTCGTGACAGACGAGGACAAACGAATCTTAAAAGATATTGAACAATTCTATAACACTCGCATCGATGAAATGCCAATGAATGTCGCAGATTTAATCTAAATCTGGCTATTGGCTATAATTCATTATAATTACAAAAAAAGAAATAAAAGTAAGTGAAATACGGAGCTCTCAGCTGATCTCTCATGGTGTGTGAGTATATATAGAGTGAGTTGGTGAATTACAATCGCTTATGTAAAACGCGATTTACCAAAATATTCCAACGTTCTCATCTCTCAATTTCATTTTATAACAGTAGATTACAGGAATAATAGTTATTCGCTACTCTAGAGAAATTAGTACTATTTACATATATAATAATTATTACAATTATCAGTACGGATATATTTACCATACTACTGTTTCTACCACTATCCGCTCGTACCGCTGTAATATTTACCGTTAACTGGTGTGTATACTCTTACGCTTTTTTCTTCTTGTTCTATAATTTATTTCTCCGTTCTCTGCTACTATTTCTATTTCATATATATATACATATACACAGAAATATATATATATATATATACATATATATATATATACATATATATATATATATATATATATACATAGTTACTATTAATAACCCCGGTATCTGTACGTTACCGTGTCACACACGTAAAAAGTAGAAGTTTGACTCGCAGATTTTGCGACAGGAATTTCTGGTAATAACGAATACACGATCGTCCCGCGATTGTCTCTTAGCCCAAGGTGAAAAGAAAAAAGTGTGGAGTTCAGGCATTTCACCCAGTTCGGTTGTTTTTCACCTCTTTGCTACTACCCTTCCGAGAACTTTCTATTGTCTAGATGCACCCGCCGACGTCGTCGTCGTCTTCGTCGTCGTCTTCGTCGTCGCCGTCGTCATCGTCATCGTCGTCGTCTTATCTCGTCTGTCCAAATTTGATTATGATCTTCGAGTACCAGTTTGTCTCGAGTCATCTTATCATTTCACTTGTTCTTCTGCGCGGCTTCTCCAATTGGATGATGATTCGTTCCGTGTTCCGTGACCCTTCTTCGACGCTTCTACCACCGCGATTACAACGTGTTCGTCTAGGCAGAGGTTTAGTTGGGTATTGGAAGGGGTACTTTAATCACAAGCGTTGCCGAAGGAGATGTACAATTCAGACTTAGACGATATGAATTTTTTGTATATCCCAAATATCCCAGGTACATTTTACCTTCATTAAGAAAATAAAGTGTTTGACCTTTTAATTGTGGTTTTTTTTTGTTATTGCATTCATTGATCGCGTTCAAATGACGCACAAAATAGTTAAGGAATAAGGGACGCAAGTCTGAGAGAAAGGAAAGAAAAGAAAAACAGAGAAAGAGAATGGTGTGTGTCGAGGGTGGTCAGATATTCGATGAATAGAGAGAGAGAAAAGAGGGTTGCCAGCAGACCGAGTTGGGAACCAAGTGCCTATCGAACCGCGCCCATTTCTTAAAGAGGTTCTCACCGTGTTTTTATTTGTATTTGCAGGCAATTTTGAGCAGTCCAGAAATGAGTGGAGATATTTTTGGAAATAAAGACCAAATTTCGTGATTCAGAATAATAGAAGTTTTTATATAAATCAATTACCTTTCTAATTTCCTGCCTTTTGCAGGCTATTAGCGATATACGAGAATTAATACCAATTTGTTGTTTATATACACACGCTTGCATAATTTATTCTTAAACGATTATAGAACCTTTCGCATGATCATTTTATATCTTGTCAATAAAAAAACATTTATGAAACTAATTTTTCTATCGTATTATGTATAGTTGCGTGTCTGTGTCTAGCTAGGAATCAAATTCTAATGTTCCGTGTACTCCGAGGACTCGGATTTTCTGCGAGATCCGTGCGACATTGTATTACAGACGATAATCCATTGTTTCACACGACATTGTTGCTTCAAACGAAATACTGTCCGTTTGTATACGTACACGTATATTAATAACGATCGCTTGAACATCCTTGAACCGATTAATCTGAATTGAAATTGTTACTTGTAAGTATTCGGAGCTCCGTTGATTCGAATGATTTATTTGAGATATCGACATCAATTTATATTGTACATCTCGTCGATGAAATTTTAAATGTGTGCATCGAATAAAAGGTTTTATTTATTCTTATGTCACGGAAACATCAAATTTATACATTTGAATATTTAATAAATTTATAGGTAACGTATTCGAATTTGATGAATATTTATAAGAACGGTACTTGTAAGGTTCAATTTAATTACGTTAAAACTGTCTTTTACAGACTTTACAATCCTTCCTATTAATAGTACTAATTATACTAGTATTTCTTATTATTTATGATAACTTTAACGATTAACCCTCATTATACAATTATTTATGTAGTATGAAATTAATAAATATCAACCTATAAATACGAATTAACAAATGTCTCCGATAGTTTTCAATAATTTCATTCAAACGTGCGTATCTTTTGTAACTTTGAATTTACAAAATGGCGTTGGAACGTTTACGCCTATGCGTATATATTAATATATTAATTGTTTCATTTCGTTCATCGTTTCGCGGTGAAAAGATTAAATAAATACAAGGCGACGCAACAAAAAGAATGTTACACTTTAAAGATTTAACAAAAAGGAATAAAAAATTTAGCGATTTACCAGCTAACGAAGTGTGGTAACATTTTTTTTCCGACACCCTGTGTCTATTGTGTCCGATTACAAAGAGACACTCGCCATAGAGAGGGTTAAGGGCGCTGTTACAAAGGACGGGTTCCAATTGAAATTTACGTGGAATCGTAAGAAATATTTTTTTTAATAACAATGTTATCGGACAGCGGCGCGTTCGTTTCCTCTTTGTTTCGTTAGACGTCGCTAAAGACGTTTTCAGAACATTTCCATAGTTCTTGAATGGTGGCTGGGAGGAGTGGGAGTTGCGGCGAAATTACATAAAACAATTACTTATCGCGTGGTGTTAACGAGTCGTTGAATCGTCGAGCGTGTTTCAGGTTCGTTTTCTTCGGTTACGTGTATGTTTATAATCGTTCAAGGTTATGACGGACATAGAACGATATTTTATTTAAAAGAGAAATATTCTATTCAGCGATTTTTATGAATTTTCATGGTTCTCGACCTTACATGTGTGTCGCATAACGGTCATATTATTTACATACAACGAGTTTGAAATCGGAACATACTGTTTTCCGTAAATTACGCAGTACAATCTGTTGTCACGAGAAACGACGAAACGTTAATGAATCTTGTCTTCGCTCGCTATTCACGTGTGTACCTTGGATTGATGTTATATTAAATTATTTTTATTTTTAAAGAAATCGAAAGATCAAGCATGTCTGCATCACCCATTGCAAGGCAGGCCACGCAGAGCCAAAGTATACCTTCAAAGAAAATATTGTTCACCGACCCTAGTCAATTGCCCGCTAATTATTCGTCCACCCCCGGCGGAACGCTTTTTTCGACTACACCCGGAGGTCAGTGCTTTCGTTTTTGTATTGTATCATTTTTATTGAATTTTAGTTTGATTAAATACAGGGTGTCGCAAAAATATGCTACCACACTTTATTGGCTGG